AACTGTATTTTGTTTGCAATTTTAAACAGCTGACAAGGTGCTCAAAACCTGTGGCATTTTTTACTGTTTATAAATCAAAAGCAAATATATAAAATAAAATAAACCCATAGCTAAATCTTGGACGTAAACAGATGGAACAGAAACATAATATTCACAATATACATGTGTCAAACAGGAATGCATAGTTGCTGTAATGTGCTTGGATTCCTATGTAATAATTATAACTAGGTTCTACTTCCTCTCAGTATGTTCTAGCTTAATTGGAAGCCAGGATCCAGCACAAAACCAAAACAACATTCAAACACGCATTTATGCACTGGATTCAACTTCAGCATTTGCATGATCTCAATTTGTTCATTCAAAATGATACTACAGATACATTTGCAGGTAGAATATCCTGCCTGTTTATGTGATTACCCATGTTTATACATGCTATGTTTATCTTCAAGCTTTTTTAATAATTTAAACTAATTAAAGTTAATAGTCCTTGGATGTTACAAAAGAGAACTTCACTGGTATTCACAAATGAATGCAAACTAATATGATCCCTATTTTGTATTAAATGGTGTATTATTATATATCATTAATCTACAAAAGCTTTATCTGACTTGCAGAAATTAAGACCCAAATTAACAGCAATTAATGTCCAACCATAAACAGACATTAGTGTACTATAACATTGAAAAAGGTGTTAATTGCATTAATACCCCAGTGTAATAGGGATAAATTGGATTTTACTTAAATTACTTTTTACTTAGTGAGATTAGTTACCTTAGTGGCAGCCACTCTGCCCTAGCTGCATAATCATCATTTTTCATGATTCCCATTATTTTTCCTCCATCTAGGACATGAGTTACAACATTATTATACAAATGTCACCATCATGCAAAGTTGTTTTGTATTATGGACTCCTTGAAGGCTTAACAGCTAGCGCAGAGCTGCCCTAGTTTGAAGTTAGAACGTGCTAGGACTATGAATCTTCAGGGGTGCAGCACCTTCTACTAGCTGGTACATAGGCAGCGTTGGGGCCAGACAGCCCTTTGAGGGATCTGTCCTGCTTTCTTAGGAGCAAAGGGATTACAATTGTGCCTAGCTGTTTGCACAGGTACAAGGGTGGGGGGTGTCCTTTTTCTGGGAACAATCTGACTTTAGAATACATCTGCACTGCAAAAAAACCCCACCAACCTATGGCAGTAAGTCTCAGAGCCTGAGTCCACAGACTCACGTTAATGGGATTCACACAACGGCACTAAAAATAATAGTGCAGATGTTTCTACTCAGGCTCTGAATCCTGGGAAGGAGGGTGGGTCTCAGAAACTGAGCTCCAGCCCAAGCAGGAACATTTACACTGCTCTTTTTAGAGCTATAGCCCAAATCCACGTCTGGGCTCCGAAACTGTCACAGGGGGGCGTTCTTTGCAGTATAGACAAACCCATCATAGAGACCCTTCAGAAAACCTTCCCCATGATACTTCTTTTACACTGAGATTAGCAATCGTTTCTGAGTGCCCAAAAGTGTGAGTCACTTCACAGGAAGGTTCTTGTCCCACATTGTTTACAATCTAAACCCACTGATGTGAGGTGACATATGTGCTGTCCCAGTATATTTATAAATGACAGTCCTCCGGGCCTAGTCAGAACTGACTCAAAATCAACAGAAGTGTTTTGCAAGGGACTGCTCTGTTAAAAGAACTCTGAAGATCTTGGAAAGGTTAAGGGAATACAGTTTCCATTTCAAAAGCAGAGCATGTGCGAGTTTGAATGTATGGCCTTGTTTTCTAGTCTTACTCACACCACAGAAATTATTGCTGGAGCTGATGGAAATATTGCATCACTAGTTTTTTTTAGAAGCTCCAGCAAAAACTGTTTAGCCATAAACACACTGCTTTGCCCATGTTAAAATAATTGCTACAACAACCATGTAATTGAGCAACGCTAACATCTGTATGTTTTGGAGCAGGGACTTGAAATTTGCCAGGGAATTTGCCCTCGTGTCAAGGATGTTTTTTACTCTTTCCATGAAAAACTGCCCAAATTTGGCTAAGCTATAAGTCTAGAAAATTTCAGTTCACACACACTCATTAGAGACAAGTTATAGTATGGCAGCTAAATTCTTCATTCTTCTGCACTGAGTATGCTCCATCCACTCGCAGATTGTAGGTCTGTTCCCACAGAGTGACTGAACATACTCCATCCTGGGGAGCAGCACTTTCCCTGCAGTTCCTACTTCTGGTTGCCAGGAATTACTGTGGTACCAGAATTGAGAGCGGGGAGACTGTCTCTCCTGTGCTCTCAGTGATGCCCCGATCGAGTCCAGGCAGCATGTAGGACAAGGAGCAAATGGTGTGACTGGAATCTGGAGTGGTGATGAATGCAGAAAGGAGGAAAGGGGAAAAGAAGCAGAGCAGGGAGATGGGCAGGTGCTCAGGGAGACTAGAAGTCAGGGTGGGGGAGAAATTAGGAGCAGGAACAGAGCTAGGAAACTGAGGACAGGGATGGAGGGGGGTAGAAAATGGGAGATAGGAACAAGAGGGGAAGAGGGGCAGGAGCTGAAGATGAGCAGAGGGACGGGTAGGACCTGGGAGGAATGCAGGGGGCGATGGGGCAGGAGATAGGAAGGGGGAGATAGGAGCAGCAGGGGACACAAAGAGGCTGCCGGAGCGCAGGGGCTGTTAGGTCTATAACAATGAGAGTGCACTTGCTTACAGAACCTGAAACAGAACCCATTTTGACTTTCAGTAAGATTCGGGCTCCTAAGTGTCTATGTCATTTTGAAAGTGGGACTTAGGCATTTTTTGAAAATGTTACTTTAGATCTTGTAACTAAATTGTTTTTCGCAGCCCAAGCTCAGGACAATTGGATATCAAGAACACTAAAATTCATGGGATTTATAAAGGAGATGGACAGAAATTTTGAAATATATTCCTCTAAAAAATACAAAGTACCTGAAATTAGAGAAATGAAAGCAGACAAATATACACTGAGTCAATAGATGGTACTGTTCTGTATTTATTTATATTTATTTTAAAGCTTTTTAGAGAAGTAGTTAAAAATAGCTGCTGTGTGATTTTCAGATAAGTGCTTACTTGTGCTTACTTGTGGAGTGAGCTCAGTTGTATTTTTAGCAGTAAAGTTGGCCATAATTATAAATATTTTTGTGGTATTTTTAATTTTTGTATTTCATATTTTATTTTAGGCAACAGGACTATTTAGATATTCCCAAATCACACAGCTATCATTTAAGCCTTTTTCCAGTAATTACATTTGAATTTTGTTTTCAGCAAATATCAGCAAATATCCTGTTTATACCAAAAAAGTGTTTCTCATTCTTATTGCCTTGCAATAAAACAAAAACACCAGGATCTGCAGATTTCCTGAGATTTCACTCTACAAAGAACAAAGCAGCCTAGCCCTGATCTGGAAACAAGCAGACCCCTGAGTTTACATGGAGATGAATTCAGTTTATTGTCCACCCATGCAGCATCAATTGCGGGACTGTGTTCTGATCTGTCCCTAATCATCTTTCACTAATGATCTAGTTCAGCAATCTGGTTAAACTCACATCTATAAAGGTGGAAACAAACAATAAAACATTTAGACATTAGATGGCAGCAAACATCTGAAAACTGAGCTCTGCCTGCAGTCTGACACATATGTTATAGGAATCTACAGAATCCTCCAACTGTGGAGTCTCTTTGGTTCAGCTGTTGGAGAACTATCTTGCCAAAAGAGCCAATATTTTTTCAGCCTGCTCCTACAGAGCTTAGAATCTCAGTTTTGCCAACACGGCTAAATAACTCAAAATGACAGCACTCCCCGACCACTCATAGTTAGTCCCTTCACTAATAACACACAGTAGAACAGAACAGAACTTAAAGGGTTTTTTTTAATCACTTTTACTTGTAAGTCCATGCAGGTATTTTTTATGCTATTTGACTGTATAATTTTAGGAACAGACTTTTACAGTTATCGGTTCAGTATCATTATGTTTATTTAGTAACCGCTTTTCCTAATGAGGTTGCAGTGTAAGTAAACAACAGGCATATTTTTCACTTGACAAAATGTTATCTTGAAATATAATTTTCCTAATAAAGTTTATTGCATTATTAATGTACAACATTTATTTCAAGCTAACAGATTCTTCTGAAGTCATGCAGAAGGAGTTAACCAAGAGCTTCCTACAAATTCTGGAAAGCCAGATGTTTCCTAATGATTTATATTTCCTTTAATTAGCTAAAATAGAAGATACAACTTTTGTACTCTAATCTTACATACTGCTCTTTCACTATGTAGAAGTATTGGCCTCAGTTGTCAAAGGCCACTTTTGAACACATACAGTTGTGAGTTAGGTAGTCATTGTGTATGCACAAGGCATATGGTCAAATGAGCCCAGGGCCTGATCCAAGAGACATAGAAATGAATGGGAACCTTTTCAGTTGCTTCACTGGGAGTTGGATCAGTGCCTTAGCGTGTAAGCAGTTGCACTGAAAATTGGGCTCATAGAGTGTATGCACACAAGCTGCCAAGTTCCCTGGGAAGCTTTTGAGTTCTGTGTGCACGCAAATTAACCGCAGAGGAGGGAGTTGCATAGACTTAGTGGACCTTCTGCAGCCTGCTGTAAATTAAATCAAAGTATGTTTATAGACACAGCTCTGGCCCACCTTGCCCATATCTGATTGATGAACATGAATGAAGAGAGGAAACTGTCAATTGGGCAGTCAGCAGACATCTCTCTCATGGTAGCCCTCATCATTCTCATTAATCCCACATATATCCCATCCATTCTAGAGAGGTGAAGAACTTCAAGCATAGATGCAAAGACCTGAAAAATGGACAGCTGCAGTATCTCTACCATCTCCAGGAACGGTTCATGGAAAGAAAACCCCCAGTGTCCCTTAGCACAGGCTGAGAGGGTCTCAGGAGGGTGGACAACACACATGCAGCAAATTGTGGCCTTGTGTGCAAATAATCAAATTCAGATGCTCACCCAGAACAGTGGGGACAGACTATGGCTGAGTAAAAGTGGCAAGAGTAGTAGCCACCGAGCCAGCAGGTTAGGTAAATACAATGGCAAACCTGAGTTTCCCTCTGCACAAGAAAAAGCTCACTGTCTGCTGACAACTCCACTGCATCCAAGTCCAGGTTCAGAGAGCATGTGCTGGGATTGACAGATCAGAAGGTGCACTCTTGCTCTGCCTTCCACAGAGCTCAGCATTCAGACAAGCACTCATTTAGTCACCTATAAATAGAAGCAGAGTAACTCTAGCAAATGTATCAAAGGGCTTTACAAAGGCAGCCTTTGTCAGAACATACAGATAGGCCACACCAAACATGAGACATCCAGGCATTGTACAACAGTAGTAATCATTGTAAGTTTTCTTTTGCAGAACTGCATCCCTCCCCTACCTACTCCATCTTTCAGGGTAATGTGAGCTTTAGACATTGTTGAAACTTCAGTGGAGACACCTTTAAATGACAACAGTGACAACCCAGAGAACAAAGAGGAGCATTCCTCTCCCTTTGTCAGCCAGGACCAGATCTCCCGATACCATCCGGCTTCATTGCCCAGCCTCTGTTCCTGAATCTATCTGCCTGCCCCTTTGGTACTTGCCTTTTCTGCTTCGGAATTCCTCTGCCCTTCTACTATTGCTCTGCCACCCCTGGACTCAGAGTCTGCTATTTACATGCAGAAATCAGGGAAGCAGCAACAATTAACATCAGGGAAGGCAGAGAAGGTTTGGGAGTGCTGTCAGTGGTTAGGGTTACTGTCAGTGATTCTCAAACTTTTGTATTCGTGACCCCTTTCACACAGAAAGCCTGTGAGTGTGACCCCATTTATAAATTAAAACATATGTTTTATATTTAACACTATTATAAATGCTGGAAGTAAAGCGGGGCTTTGGGGTGGAGGCTGATAGCTCGCAACCCCCCACATAATAATCTTGCAACTCCCTGAGAGCTCATGACCCCAGTTTGAGAATCCCTGGTTTACCTGAAGAACAAACTAGGAAATCAGGTGCTTTTTAAATTAGGCTTCTTTCTGGGTTATAATATGACTAGCTAATATGATTGTAACATGTTAACCTGTGTCCACATCACTAGATGCTAAGGGGGTTTCAAATCATGTTAGCTAACTTGAGGTAGTACCATTTCCCTAGCTTATTCCTTGTGCAGACAGGCTTCTACAGGGAATAATGGGTTTAGCAACTGGTAAATAAGTACTTATTTCACAGTCTAGATTCAGAAGTGATATTGATCAGTATGATTATCAGTCTTCCAGGTTTTTCCAAGGTTGTAAGGATGGTGTTGTGAGTCATGTCTGGAAGAATCACTCACCTTAAGGAGCAATTGGAAGAGTTTTGTTTGACAGATTTTTGAATTCAGTTCAAATCCATTGGAGCCCAGCATGTTTTTAGAGTGATGACCATCAATTACTTGTATAATTTCTCCTTGGTCAATGTCAAAGTGACAATTTCTCCTATCACTTCAGCACTGAGGTGTGTTTTTTGTGTGGAGTGAGTTAAGGAAAAAAAAAGTCATATTAAGACGAGTTTGGTTCTCTGTGATGTTAAATAAATAAAGATTGACATAAAACTTTTTAAAAAATACTTTTTCTTCTTTATTGATTCCTTGTTCCATGGATGTGTTTTTTAGCCAACAGAGAGCCCTGCACGGGAGCAGCCTACTCAGTCTGGCCACCATTGCCGAACTCACAAAGAAGCTAGCAATACTGATTTTTGCCATAAGGACAGTGGTAGATTTTAAAAAAATCTAACCTACTTCATTTTATGTATTTCATAAATACATCTTAAAATCAATCCATGTTCTGAATTTAGTTTATTGGGAAATACTGGCTGGCACTATCAAAAAGAACATTCACCCTATTCCCTTATGAGGAAATAAGGCAAAGGCCACAGACGACTCTAGACTTTTCTCCAAAGTGGTGACAAAAAAAAATAACTGCAGGCATAATGTGGTCACAAATGAGCAAAATGACCTGAAAGTAACAGGCACTGCCATAGGTTCCCCACATGTCATGAGAGCTATGGGCTAGCCATGTGTTCTTCTCCTGCTAAAACTCCTCCTCCTTCCTGCTATTCAGCTATAGAACAAAAGAGGAGACAGACAACTCATGGCCTAATTTCCCCTTTCCAATAACTCAGGTCCAGAAAATTTTAAGGCCAACTTAAGTTCTTCTGTCTGTCATATTGACTTGACATGTTGAAATTGTTCTTACTGGCAAAAAATTATGCTACCGTATATGAAACTGGAAGTGCATACAAAAGTAGTTTTGTTATTTCACAGAAAAACAATTTATTATAGTGGGTTTACTTTTTTTCATTAAAACATTTTTTTAGTGAACATGACTTTTCAAACAAAACAAATTTTTACAGAAAATTTGCATTTGGGCAAAAAAATTTCAGTTTTTCAGTGAAAAACTGGAAGCTAAAAACTAAACATTTTTTACAGAAAAATGCTATTTACATTCATTCCATGCTTTTCCCCTGACAGCTAAAAATACTAATGCCTCCTATTTAGAGGGGTCATTTGTAACTCCAAGTCACCTCTCTTTACCATCTTGATTTACAGTGAGATCTATCTGACATATGGTCATGGTATAATAATGTTGGGACAGATGGCAAAACTGTACTGGCTCCTGGATATCACTACTATATCATTCAATTTCTTGAGCAGCCCTCAAGAGTCACTATCATCACTAAAGTGCCTTCTTGTGTATTCAAGACAAAAAATGGAGGATGTCAATTTCAAATGTCCAACTCGCTCTAGAAGAATACCCACTGATGCCAAGGAGAGTTCTGTGCACGAAGGGTGAGATGATTTTAGAATCACAGACAAGTTTTCAGAGCTGAGAAGATAACGTTGCTTTCCAATATGTCATGTTGTATGGCCAAGCAAAATTATCCTTTCTTAACTAAACATTCTGGATGGTGGATCGTTGAATATTTAACTGTCAAACTCAAAATGCAATGCAAGCTAATATAAATGAGCCACAACATTATCTGTATACCCGACATGGGAACTTTTAACAGATATCTGATCCTTTTAGAATGGGAATTTCATATTAGCCATAAAAAGTTTAAAGCATGAACAGGAAGATTTTTTTACACTAAGTATTTCATAAGAAAACTGGTATTTTTTACTTATTTCTTACTATTTCTGCCATAGCGTCCCTACAGATTTTCTTCTCTATTAATCCACATTTAAGTGTAGATGTGAGCTAGCCAAGATGAAAGCTTTGCCAAGGGCAAAGAAAACAAGAATAGATGAAAGCTCACAGCACTCCAATGCCAAAGTTTACATTTTAAATGCCTTACTTTATGTGGCAAACACTCAAGGGGAAAAAGTGACACTGATGCAGACTTTAATTGTCCAAGCTATTTTGGGCATAACACTGTTATGACCCACACTGATGGCAAAGTTTCCTTAGGTGGGATGTGACTCAAGATAGTGCTGCTTCCTTTTCCTTAGATTTGCAGGTTCTGTACTCATGCGGTGCAAGCTGTTTATCATGTTAATGGCATAATAATAACTCTTTTTATTAGGAAATGGCCTGCTGGAGCAGTGCCTAGCCATTGTGTCACTACACCCGCCTCCCTTCCCCCTGCAAGCTGGATCAGAACTGCAGACAGAGCCTCACATTTCCTCATTAATTCTGGAAAATTCCCATAATGAATATCGTAATTTGGGGCTTTTCTTGTTGCTTCACAATTGCTGGAAGAATTTCAGTTTATACTGCATTACAAGGATTTCCAAATTAAGGATCAAATAGTGTTTGTTTTGGAAACCATGCCTATATATGTTAAAACTAGATAACCCACACAGGATAACTATTATCTTGAGAAAAGCATAACATAAAGGACATGAATGTCCACCTTTAATTCTCACTCCAACATTTAAGTTGCACCGTAAATCCTCATATTTTGTGAACTTGTGAGTGAAAAACTTGTGAGTCAGAAAAGTGTGGTGTTTCCCTTCAGTTCAGACCTTCAAATGCAGTTATACTGTGAAAAATGACTCTACAAGAGTCATCATGAGGTCCAAATTGTTTATTTCCTCTCAATTATTTCCACTGTAAGTCTGCTTAGTTTATAAGTAAAAAGATTACCTTTTCTTTATAATTGACAGGTCTGCAGACTCAGCCTAGCATCAAAAGGTGAAATAAAGCTTCTGCAGTCCAAATTATACCCTCATATCCACCTGTGCAACCCCACTGTCTCTGAATTACACCCTCAACGATACCTATCTCTCTTAACCATCCAAATAAGCAAACTTGGGCTGGAAATCTTGTGAGAATAGTCCTGCTTAGTAAATAGTGTTTCTGTCTGGGCCAGAAATATCACAAGAACACTCTTCATTAGGGTATATTAAGCATATCATTTTATACTCTCAGCTGCAACTAGGACATGCAGACATGCAAAAGTCATATCCCAATATGGTAACGACTTTAGAGATGAAGCAAAAGTATTATGACAGTCATTCAGTGGCCATCCAACACTTCAGTCCATCTTTACTTTAGACCATACTGACAGTTGGTATCACACAGTTACGCATTCCAATTGTAATCTAAATTTCTCCTCAAAGGGTAACAATTTGAAGCAGTCTGTTACCATATACTCCTAAATCACTGTGAGGAGTCTCCAAAGTACATCATTATCTGTCTACAGTATCTTAGACTTTTATATGGTACCTATCATTGTATTGTGTAAGCATAGCACAAAATGAAGAACCAGAAAATGACGGTGCTTCCCCTTTGGATTTGGCTGAAAAGAATATCATGCAGCTGGCAGCCACCCTAACCTATCTGTGTCCAAGGGGTGGGGATATATAGTCTGCCCAATAATGCTCACGTGTTGAGTTCACAAAAGGAAGATTTTTCTAATCTGTTAGCCTTTAATATTTAGATAATTGATTATATTGTTACTCAGTTACATATATTAGTATAACACGTAAGGCTACTACCACTCCTAAAGAGATTTTGGGAAAGTTTATTTTAAGGTAATTGTTGGGGCAGAAGGTGTCAAATCCTACTCTCACTTAAAACTATAAGAATATTTTCCACTGATTATCCTCGGCATGTTTGTTACTAGAGAAGTACTGAATCCCACATTAATTTACTTTTTCAAAATAATTATCTTGAGGGTAGATTAGAGATGCTTCCACACTGGGAAATTTATCCATCATTGTTCAAGTGGCTCAAAGTTGCGGGCACTTTTAGAT